GTTTTTCATGGGTTCAAAGAAAGGATTGTTCATATGCTTATTAGGGAAGGATCCCAAGTCGAAATGACCACTTGAAATGAGACCTATACTTCTAGACGTGTTCAAGGATGCTCATAAATCTGCTTTCCGAATTTGCCAAGCGATTCTCTGAGTGGAGTTATAACGTGATCTTAGGGAGTTCCAGCATAAGCGGACTTAAATTACATAGATGTGACAGGTCTATCAGCGGCGCATTGGAGAAGTGGTAAGGGTGACGGTATATAATCGAGAGACTAGAATGCGGGTTCTGCGAGAGTTTTGCACTGTGTTGAATTCTTTCTTTGAGGCCTAGAAATTCCTTTGATGTTGATTTTGTCTTGGTCTACGATTGGTAGTTGTGGTGACAACGTTCTCCCGGTGACAACTCTCGAATGGGGGGAGTCCCATCTCCGGACCATCCGTATGTGATGGTGCGCCGTGCTACTACATCGCATTCGCCCCTGTGAATATAACGCGAACTGACATGGAAAAATTGAAGCGATATTGCATGGTTTGGGTAAGAACGTTGCCACCACAACTACCAAATGTCGTAGAACAAGATAAAATTAACATGAAAAGAATTTCTAGGCCTCAAAGAAAAAATTCAACACAGTGCAAAACTCTCGCAAAACCCGCACCCTAGTCTCTCGATCTTTCAGACTCAGACTCCATAGCGTTGTTGAACCTGAATCAAGACGTTTGAGCTAAGCCCTCCCACTTTGGTGCTAAGTTAACTTACTGTAAACTCTTGATTTCTCTCCCTTTCCTATCCTCTGTTTTTTCTTATCAAACTTTAGAACTCCTTTGGAAGCCCATTTACAAGTGTGTGCTTTTTGATGCAAGCACCGCACCATCTGGGGCCTGCCCCACCTGACTTTAGTACCTGTCATCTCATCCTTCTCCAACCTCTAATCATTATTTTGAGATTTCAAAACGTTTCTGATCAACGTTGTGAATTTGTATAAAGCACCTTCTAATTTGTATAGAGCATGTGTTAGCATGTCCTGCCTGAATGAGCGGAATTTAAGCATGCCTTGCACATTTTGAAGTGTTTCTGCACGCGCTGCTAACCTGAGCCATGCACATTTGCCATGCTCTTTTGCTGTTTAAAGCATAGTGCAACTTCAGGCTGGTCCAGTGCATACCTGCTCGTACGCTCCACCTACCGTGGGCAACCTCCACTCGAACTACACGGTCTAAGAGCTTGGATTAAACCCTACTTATTTCTATTTGCCTGAACTTTTCCAATACGTTCTAAGGAAGGTGCCACGTAAGGTGGTAGCGCCTCAACCCGGCGCTAATAATACGTACCACAAGAAGGCGGATCGTTCCAAATGTTTGGAAGTATTGAAAAGAGAACCCACTTGATGACTGTTTTTTAGTCTTCTTTCGGAAGAAACAGGAATACCATGGGAGATCTTCTTCCTCATCAAGCACCAGATCGTCTACCTTCAAGTAAGAAGGGCAATAAACACGAAGCAATTTCCGAACGTTCTTTGAAGCAGTCGTAGAGAGTGAAACTTATGACATTCAAGGCTTAGGAAGTAGAAACGAAGGAAATGCTAAAAAAATGAACCCACTTGAATAGTTTCACGTCTTGCTCCCATCAGTCCAGCTGTGAACAGTCGCATTTTCTCCATCTATAATTCGCTCAAAATTCAAAATGAAAGGTTAAAGGATAAAGTCAATCAAGTATTGATCGATCCTTTATGAGGGATGCGCTTTCATTCATTTCAGAGTTTTCATTCAGAGTCATAGTGACGTACTGAATGCTTATGCTTCCTATTCAATGACTTACTGTGATCCGTGGATGAGCAAGTCAGTGACTTTATCTCTATCCTTCATCCTGAGCCCATAGCAGGGAGGTGGGTTGGAAGGCTTCGTTGGTATTGGCGGATAATGATCCGCGATTCGAACTCGTGACCATGCATGTGTGAAAGCTACCACTACACCATCTCCGCTCCATCATTATGTTTCATTAGGAACAGCAATCAAGAAATGCCGCCGATGCGACTGTGATCACCAGGCTTAAGCGAGCTCTCGGACGATGAAGCGCGAGCACTAGTCCAAGCAGTGTCCTCCTAACATTCCCTAGCTCAGGAAGATGAGTTATCACCTTAAAGGCACAGTTCACAATAAAAATGGGCCCCACGATTCCCTCCTAGGATTACCCTGTGGCCTCCAAGGGTAACACAAATGACACACATACCGAGCAGTGACGTGTCAGATGAGTGTCAAGGCGATACAGTTTGCGTTATTCGCACGAGGACCCACACGTTCAGCATGCAACCAGCTGATCGCCGAGTGGTGAGGGGTTGTTTCACTGTTATTCTGTTTTTCCTTTTGTTACTACGGTCACTTTTCTGAAATAGTTTCCTACTTTACGAGGATGAAGAATATGAGTAATTTTTGCTGCTAGTCCTGTTTTGACTTTGAATGCATGACAAAACTTTTTTGCTTACTGTAATCAGCTGTACGCAACGATACACATTGTACAGCTCGTTCAAACATCCCTTCTCACGTCATCCTTTGGCCTTATTCTCGTCCAGCCCCGCTTTACAACTTTTGAACCATCTTATCTCTTAAGAAACATCGATTCTCGTGCTTTCTTCGCTTTCATCGTAATATTTTTCACCTTCCCTTTCATTTTTCGTCATTATCGGGATAACCCAAAATTGTCGTGGATGCGCCATTGAGGGATACCGTCTCCACGAAGGAATTCCGGCCGAAGCATTGTGGAGACGGTTTATGTCAGTTGAAAGAGCCTCGTCCTTCGGACGAAAGTTTTCGGTTCACTGATGTTAAGTGAGCATTTGCGACTACTATGTATTGCGTTTTGTATATATTGTGCATGATTATGCCTTTATATACCCTCTTTTGGTCGAATATTTGTGTGCGTTTACAATTTTTTTTCTAAGCTGCACCCCTCAAGAATATGGCTGTTGGCTATAGCAGGTTATGGGTTTATGCAGGAGGTCCGAAAACGGTCCGCTCACTGTGGATGGGTCTCCTTTGTCCGATTCTTTGACCTAATTCTAACAACTGCCCATTTTCCCCGGTGCCTTGGCTTTTTGAAGCTAAATTATGAGCTCTTGTAAGCGGGGTTCCCCTGAACTCATACGTGCTTAATTGACCTTGTCGAAAGCTCCAACCCTCCTAGCTTGATGGATCCCATGGCTTTTTCAGTTAACACTGAATTTCGGGACTTATAGACAGACAAAAGCGGATTCGTCATTTACAGAAAGTAAGCGGACCTTTTTATAGGTAGTAATTAATAATGATGAAATCATGTGTAGAACGATACCGTAACTTCAAGGAATTCTCGTATAGAGTTATAAATTCTTGATCATAGGTCTACCATCCTCAGTGCGAGCTCCTTCCGGTTTGAGGTTTTGAAGATCCTTTCTTAACAGCCTTCATGCACTTTTTCGAATGGGTGTTTGATCCCAGCTCCGGCTACCTCGGTGAAAACACCTCCCACCGTGAGAATTCGACCGCCTTTTTTTTTGGCTGCCCGTTTTTGAGCAGACTAATAAATTTGTTATGATAGCCAGCCCACCCCAGTGCAAGCTACGCTAGCTTTGAGAATTAAATCTTATTTTATAGCCTCTATCCACTTTTCTCCTTGTTCCTTAACGTTTTTGCACAAAGTTATGAATTTTTGCTCCCATCCCCGCCCATTTCAGTGCAGGGCTCTCTCGAACCGAGAATTTTCCCACATCCCTTCTACAACTTCGAACCACTTCACTTTTTCCGAAATTTTGAAACGCTTTGAACAATGTGGTACTTTCTGATAAAAGTACCTTCCCTTAGAATGCGGCCACCGATTAGGCGTAGGCGAAGCCTTGCTGGGTTTACCACCCGCCCACTCCTTCGGTTTTTCATTGTCCTCCACGCCCCCGTTGAATCGGATTAAGAGCTTAGGTGGAAAGTAATGTCCATTGTGAGAATGCTGTGCCCACTGGTGGTTAGCCTCCTTCTTTTCACTTGCTAACCCATGCCTCACCTTTGCCCATTTTTTGGCCGGTATGTGGGCTGTTGTGAAACCCCATTAGGAGGCTTCACCCAAGGTATCGCCCAGTTCTGGCACATGTTCCGCCCCCGGAGCTCAGCTGAGTTCAGACGTGCCCTGTTGATCCTGCCCTATGCACGAACTATCGCAAATTCTGCCCGACCCCTCCGAGTGCTTTTTTAAATAATACCGAGTCTCGTGGCAGTCAGAGAGACAAGTAAACAGACAGACAGAGCGTTATATAATGTAAGGATCGTCAATGGTAAGATGGTGTAGTGACAAGTCGTGCACTCCCACACAAGAATGAGGGGTGTAGGCGCATCCCAAAACGAGTCGAGCGCTAAGAAATCAAGAATTGTTTTCATTCATCCTCTTGATAACGGGTGCTAGTCTCCATACCAAACCAGCCTACCTAGCCTAGTTTGATATTTCTTCTCATGTGTCGCCATTGGCAGTGCCCTGCTCGGGGACGGAGATCTCCGTTGCGAAGTCAGCAAGGCTGAAGTCGCCTCGTGACGGGGCGATGGCTTCTCCCAGTTCGGTGCCCTCTGTTCTCAATCCTTTTCCTAGGGACGCAGAACAATCAAATGCGTACATGTACCAACAACTTGTAGTGTAGCAGCAAATTTTTTACATTGTTCTGCCCTCTTTACGAACTTATCACCTTTCAAGCACGTCGCCAAATAGAACGCAAATAGGCGACGGTGCCCAGCGAGTAGAGATTGGAACACCCTCTCTAGGTTATTATTGCGTTGTCCGGAAATTAACTTCTGCTGAATGGGTTCCTCATCAACTTGTACTATTTTCAGAAGTCTCTTCCCATAAACGGAGAGGGCGAGAATATGCGCTATTCCTCAGTCAGCGTTTCCAAAACGCAGAACCAATAGCCAAATATCGCTTACGTCTAACTCATCTAACTCACAGCTCGGTTCGATTCCAAGCCTTTTAGATCGTGAACCTGCTTCCGAATATAGACGATTTGCGCATAATTAATAACGGCATATTCGACCATTGCTGCGAATACAAATCCAAAGCAGCTTCTTAAAATGATGTAGAAAATAAAATATTTTTTCGAGATCATGCGATATTGTTCAAACTCACAGGATGTAGAAAATAAAATATTTTTTCGAGATCATGCGACATCGTTCAAACTCACAGAATATAGATGTCAAGCGCTGTCGAATGAGAGACTTTTGGCAGGTCGGTGCGCAGCCCAAAGCCAAGAGTAGACATGGACAACACCGTCATAATTCCTGGAAATTCTCCTTTTCATTTTTGCAATCGTTATGCTTACTGTATTCTGAACTTTAACCTAGAGCTACTCGAGCTGGCGAGGCCTCCTTGTTAATCCAGAATGACACCCACGACATCACCACTAGAAGGGTGCAAGGAGTATAGATTTGTAGTACGTAATAACCCTGTTGCCGTTGCAGCTTGAAATAGACTTTCAGAACAGAGATATCTGAAACGTTTGTGATCATCACAATGTAGCGTTATTCTTCTAGGCACCTTCCTGTAGAGTACCGCGCTTTCGATTGTAAGTTAATTGTGTTACTCTACTTTCTTCACACTCGACATCTTAACTTAACGAAGAGACCGAGTTTCTCTTTTCGTCAATGACAGCCACAGGCATATCCCATCAACAGTGTTTCTCTGGTTCTTAGCCTTGCTCATTAGCTTGAGCTCACTAGGGAAGGGTTTCAAATTCCTATGGATTTTTGAATGGAGACTTGGAGGTGTATCGATAGAGCTCGGAATGCTATTTACAAATAAGGGTAATACGCGTATAGGTTCGTCATGGCGCAGTGGGAGTGTTCTCCACCTTTAGGCGAACGGTGGGGGTTTGCTTCCCGCCGCTTTGCCAGTCTTTGCAAAAGGTCTTTCTCCTCGAATAGATGCTCTCATGCTGGTTTCTGTGACTAATTCAAGCTATCAACATGTCTCGGCTATCATTTGCCACCACCGCACTTGCTTTCTCCTTTTAATTACTGTAACGGTAGTTTACTTTCATCATTGAAACACACACAACAAAAGGAAATAGTTTTGAGCATCACTCGGAACAAATTCGCGTATAAGATCAATATTGATGGACAGTCAAAAAAATGAAAAACGGATACAACGCGAAAAACAGTGTGGGGAAGACCTACTTAGCGATGCGCTTTTTGCAAATGATAACCGAAACAAAGTACCAGCTGGAATTGGTTACCAGAAACGGTATAAGAGCGTTCTTTCGAGAAAACGAGCATTTTGGAAAAACTGGCGGTGTGGCGGGAACGAGAACTCTCCCACTGCGACGCGACAACCTTTGCGCTCTTTGCGGGCAGATGTGCATTTCAACTGGCACTATCTCTCCATGCTTCAAGCTTGCGAACTTTGAGCGCTCACAACTTTATTCGTAGACTCATCTAGCATACCTGAGTCTCTGTTCGAAGCTCCATGAAAGGTTGAAACCCCTCCCTGGTAGGAGACCTAGTGCGGCCAAAATGTTCCCTTAATTTAACCGTCACCAAGACATTCACGATCCAATAGTTATGCAATCGCTACATGGAATCTAACGCTCTCCTGAAATCTTGGGTGTTACAGCCGAGTCAAATCACCTAAAAACGGTTGGCGTGGAAATTTATGCCCAAGAGGCGTGCCGCACTCGCCGCGTCAGCAGTGTGTGGCGAAAGTTCCCAAGGCAATTGGGCTGCGCAATTTGTGGGCGAGATCAAATTCACGGGTTACGGCGCGATCTACGAAGATGATAATTGTCATTGCAGTTTGATAAAACAGGGCTACTATCAATGCCACTGTCACCAGATGCGCGTGCGCTCGACTGTGCGTTTCAGGCACGAATTTTGCTTCCCGCAAATAATGCTTCTCATTTCTTAAGGATTCAGAGCGGAAAGGATTGCTACCGACCACAACTAAAAACTTACTTCGATGAATTTCTCGGTGATCGGACAAGTTGTGCTCTGATTTGAAGAGACCGAGGATCTTGTACTGCGAAAGCATGTTGCCCATTTTCGCGTCCAGTTCAACATCTTTCCAGTAGTAAACCACATCATTGGAGAAATAACCCAAGGATCCAATTTCAATGGGGCAAGCCTAAAGACTTGGCCTTACATTCTACAAAGATCAAGTAAATAACAAGAGATGTTCCAACATTATGAAAACACCCATAAAAAGGTCGCTCTGAGGTAAGGTGGAGGTTCTTGGTTTGTTAACAACTGAAATGAGGGTGCTCTGTTACACCCCAATTTTACTTAAAGGCACGGTTAACGAAAAAAATGGTATCGGGGATTTTCACAAAGTATGAATTCGGGGCCCCCTCTGATACCATCTCTGCAGGAATGAGTTCGAAAAACAGTCTGGATAGGGCACAGTAAGGGCCCTGACAGTGAGCCACGGTCAATCTCCGCTCCTCGCTAGGCTAACTACGAAAACTAGTTGTCGTTCAAACACTCGCACTGGAGCGAATTTGGTGAAAAATCGATAAGCTGATCGGCAAATTGCCAAACGATTGAAAATACTAGCATGAAATTCATGAAAGAACACAATTCAACGAAATAAAAACATATAGAAGGAAACTTCACCGTAAAAACATTAATATAATCAAATTTGCTTACCTTCTCGTCCCGGCGACTTGATTCCGCAGCATATTTCAGCTTAGTAGCAGCAGAAGAATAAAGAGCGAATAAGCCGAAATCAGCTGTTTTGGTGTGTTGTGTGCAATTGCAGGCACTGCGTCGCGTCTGTCTGGCTCGCCCGAAAATTTCCTTATCGCCGTTCTTCCGCCATGTTTCTCGTCCAACCCCCTTTTCCCTTGTTTTTTGAAGCTTCTTATTTCTTTTTATTTTTCGTTTTTAGTGTTTTCTGCTCCATTGCACTATTGTAGGCCGTATCTAACATTTTTCGTCAAAACCCGGATACCCCAAAATTATCGCGAAGTGTGCCTTTAAAACAATATAAGGTGTACACGGCTGTTTCAGGAAGTGGAGCCGGATTATTGTTCCACTCAGTATGCTCTCTATGTACAGTACAGTACGTCTTCGTAGACTTTCACGCCGGTAATGATGAAACCACCGACGTCCTATCNCTTATAAGACGACTTATAACAACTATTTTGTGAATGATGGCACCTTCAAAGTTTCTGCCCAGAAATAAATGAATATTTTGCCGCAATACGCGATACGAAAGTCTCACAAGGTTGGCGAGTTATGGACAAAACTTTGACCTCGGACAGAACTCAAGCCCGCACTTGTGCTATCCACTTCCCTCAGCTACTTACACTTCGGTAGCCATCGGCGCAACAGAAACTTCGGGTGATGAGAATGAGTTGAAGCCTACGTGGAAGGGGGCTTTATGTGTGTATGTCGGCCTCTCGGCTCTGCTAGCACATCATTCATCTATTACATACCCACAATCCCTTTCGCTATTCCCCGGGTAAGAGTGACCGAAAGCAAGATGAAAAGACTGAGAACTGTGCTTGCCTGAACATCCATAGGGAACTTCTTCAAAAACATGAGACATTTCGTTTTAATTGTCAACCTGAAACATAAGTAGTTGTGACTGCGAGCTTTATTTTGAGAATTTTCACTTATAAAGAGATTCCGAAACGTCGTTTATTCATGTACAAGCTCCTCCCGCGGAGGCTCGAAACGTTATCGGTTTCTCTTTATGGAGATGGATCGAAAATAACGGAGCTCACCTTTGTGAGACATGAACTTGACCATCAGATCTTACTCGAAAGAGAATATTCGGAACGGTGAGCGTATGTAGGTAAGACTTACGGCCGTTCCGAATGTAAGTATCTGGCACCTGAAATAGAGCTAGATCATAGCCAAGGCTGTCCGAAAAAGCTTTTCAGTGGAATTTGCCGCCTATTCTAAATCCTCATCAATGAGGCCAGGCCGTAGATGAAGGAACACTCGTATTAAGGTATACTGACAATGAGATGTGCCAGGTGGAAATTCAATGAAAACTGACTTGGCCTATGTACTGCAGCACAGTGAAATTAAAGATCAGGTTGAACTCATGCTAAACATCCAAGTGTGACTGATTGTAAGAAAAAGTTCCGAAGCAATGGTGCAAGTGTACAAGGGTTCCCAGGAGACGTAAGTAAACCATGGACGGAGAGCTTGAGTGACCAATAAGGCTATAATTAGAAATTGATCTCCTTCCCAACCAGTTTCGTCATGCTTGGAAACGATAAGTTGAATAGAAGAAGCTAATTCCCTCCTTTTATATGAAGCCCGAGGGTAACAAGATCGGTAGAAATCCCACATCTGTTTCTTCAGGTGAGCACTTAAAGGAATATATGTGGGATTATTGTCGATTCGTGATATACGAATCCGGCTTGAAGGTTACAATTCAATTCGCTGTGGGTACTGGCACTGCTCTAAACAATAATTCACTCTGAATAGCCGAACGCACAACTTTGTTGCCATTGCAGGCATGCCTGCTATTGACTGGCCGACCCCAAAGATCTCGAGCGACATTACTTCCCGCAGCTTGTCCCCTATCGTTGTTACATTTTCATTCATTCTAATTACTCACCCATATATCTTTGAGCATTTTGCTCGCCAGCGGCATCACTGGTTTATCTGGATTAATAGGAGTGAACGCTAATCGTCGATCGAGCCATTTCTGTCGGAAGTAGCAATCGAGAGAGAATTCCTGAATGGTGCCTGCTAAGATTAAATGAAAGGCAGTATATCTCCTTATACTCTCTGATCTTCCTCAATCTGGCGATGTTTCTCTACTCTATGTAATCATTTAATGTACTACACTACCAATCAATTGCCTTATACCTAACTGCTTTGCAATCGCTGTATAAAAGTAAAGATACAAGTGTGGTGAACCAATATCGTACAGCCAACTCGTACAGTCACTTTTCAACTTCTTCATTGCTTCCGAGGATAAGCTCCTTTGGAGTTTGTGGGCTGTGTATAATATTCATTAATGTCGAATGTTATCGCGTTAAACAGAAGAATCGATAAAAGCCCAAAAGCACTTAAAGGCTCAGTTCACGATAAAAAATTTTCTGAGTTTTCCCCCTAGGAATACCCAGTGCCCCCAAGGGCAACAGGAAGGACGCTGTCGAGTTCCAAAACTCAATAGCTGGGTCATAGTGGGAGCTCCGCTACCAGATCGCCCGAACTTCCCGCCCTTCGATCGATGTCAGACGAGTGTCGAGGCGATACAGATTGCAATAATTCGTTCTAGGACCCACACACAATCAGCTGATTGCCGAGTAATGAGGCGGTTTTCTGATATTCCTTTATTCTCCGTTATTCTTTTTGCTGCTGCGATCCTTTATTTAATATTCTGCCACAAGAGGCTTGTACTATTTTTGCTGTTACTAAGGGTTTTTTGTTAACTTATGCTCATGAGTGAAGAAATTATTGCATACCGAGGTCAGTTATTCGTACCAGGACCCACACGTATGCAATAGCACTCATTGCGTACCTTGTCCAAACTCCTAATTCTTCTTCATTTTTCTGGTCTCATTCTCGTCCAGCCCCCTTTTTTTAATGATTTTTCGAAGCCTTTTTTCACTTAGAAAAAAGACCGATACACGCACTTTCTTTGCCTTCATCGCACTTTTTTCCATCTTATCTTCCGTTTTTCGCCATAACCTGGATTACCCAAAGTTTTCGTGAACTGCGCTTTCAGTTGAAGCACTCTATCCAAGATCTTGCAAGAGCTGAACTAACGACATCGATAAAACCCCTCTTTGATTCGCTTCGCATTCAACTTCCATTCAAATCGTAGTGCGATGCGGCCTATTCAATGACTTGCTGTGGTCAATTAATGTACGAGCCAATGCTTTTATCCTTCTATGCAAATATGATATCAGTCAAACGACCCTAGGGAAAGAAGAAGTAGAGCCCGGCGTCAGTCAATTGATCCGACTGGTATAAAAGATATGGATGATGAGCACCAGGAGCTCATGGGAAAGTGTCAATTTCAAAGAACTGCTATAGACCAGCAGTCCAATACCAGTTGCAGGAGTAGGGCCCGAACTGCTAGCTCCTGCGCTTTTGCCTACACTGCAGGGCTTTACGCAAAAATTACGCTTTCATTGGCTTTGTAGTCAGTGATCGTCACCTAAAAAATCAAATTCTATAGATTTGAGGTATCCTTAGTTCCGTGTTTCCATTGCCGGCTAAGGATCTAATTGGGACCATGCAGGCATTCAGATAACTCTCTGCGCTTGCGTCTCGCTTTCAAATGCGCTCACGACTGAGAATACGTGGCGCATGTCAAAGTGGAATATTGAAGGGTTTTTCCTCTTTCTTGATATTCTATGCGAAAAAATTGTGGACTAGCCTTCATGGCAGACTTCAATGATTGCTTCTGAAAAAACCCCCTGTTTTTATTACGGAGTCGCTTCCCGAAGCTTTCGTCAGATGAGCTCATAAAACTGGGGCAGTTTCGTTTTTCAATGCATGGGTAATGGCAACAACAGCGCAGAAGTCATACTCACTCACTATGCACACTAATTATTTCTCAGTGAATATGAAATGGGTTAGAGCGAAGTGAGGATCAGATGATCAGAGCCAACACACATCTCCAGAACACATCACCTATTTGACTCCCATACAGAGTGTTGAGTTTTACGAATGTGCCTTTAACTATTGTAATACACTGCCACTATCGCCACTCCTGATACGCGCTTGTCTATCTTTCAGTGATAACTGCCATAGTAATACCAGATAGGTCTTATAGTACCTATTCAGCTTGGAAGAAAGTGATAAGTTTGATTCAGTCAGTTTGGAGGTCGTTTAGGTGTGATAGCAAGGGCACTCGTCCTCTACACAAGCAAAATAATTCTTGATAGCAGTGACGACTTGATCAGCGTCTATGGTAGAATCCAGCCCCTGACACACGACTGGCTCATGCAAAAGTTTGCTTCGGGCTTCAACCAGTGTGACTCCTTATTCGTGGGTTTTACTCTTTGGAGCGCATTTCCAGGAGAGACTATGACAGAGAATAGAAGGATTTTATTGCAATGGCTTCACCTTCATCTTGGCAGCGATGACTGGATAAGATGACTTTTTCCTTTCAATAAATGTCATCACAAAAGAATTCATACATGGATCACTGATGACCACGTCCTACGCTTGTGACATCACTATGATAGCGGAAAATGGAACAGAACTCATGTGCAAGCTCCAGAAATGGCAAAGTTTTGAAGGGGAATGGGCTCCATCTGGAAAGTGCTAAAGAGGTCAAAGCTCCTCAGTTCGTTGATTGCTTGAGAGGTGTAGAATAATGCAAGACCTACATTTTTGGAGAGCGACCTGGCTGCTGACCGCAGCGTGGGTCAGCTTGAAAAGGCTCGGGTAAACGCGACATGTATAAAATTAAGGGAGTCCACTATTATATTCTGCGAACGACCAAATTCGAACGCATATGTATATGGCCTTTATAACGACCTTTGATGTCCTACGACCGAATCCTGGATCGACATCCGCACAGCCATCCAAGCTTTCTATCTTTCCGGAATCGTTTATTTGGTACAAGGCCCATTTGAGTGAGTGGAATTACCGACTTGTATATTGACTGACTGATATACATATTCAAGTTGGACAGGATTCGGTCCTAGGACCGTGAGTAATAGAGTTCCACTTGTCACTATAACACCTACGCCTTACAAGTAATCCAGGTAGAAGCTCACATCGAGCATGAATAATATAGTGAATAAAGAAACGAGCAAGTAAAAGTGTTGTCCATAAAGTAGAGCCGTATACTATTCTCCAAGTGCGAGTGACTATCATAAAATGGACATATTCACACTCGCAGAGCATGCTCTCGGAGAGACTAATGTGCCGAATTTTCGAATTGATTTTTTCTATTCCTTTAGTGAGGTAATAAAAATTGGAAGACGATTCAGATGTGGAGCGTTTTTTTCGGTTTTACGGATATGACAAACTGAAAGACGGCAAGGGTGCAGTAGTACTAGCAGCATAGTTGTTACGGCGTGTGAAAGCACTCACCATGTCCTGTTCGGATATTGGACCCATACTTCGAACGCTGATATCGATTTCCACATTTAACGGTGATGAGTCTGAAAGTATCACTTCAACACTTTGCTGTGCTCGGTAAGCACAACACTTGGATTGTTCATATACGAGAGCGATTGGGTCTCTAATGCTGTTTTGTAAATCTGAGAAAAAAGACGATACGAAGGCAAACATAGTGATCTTTCGTGAAAACTTTTTTTTTCATAGTAGATCACTGAGTGCTACAAATTGAAGCAACGCTTTCCTTATTTACGTTCCTATCTGTTAATTATCTGTTGTTCAATGTGTATGTCCGGCCGTCTCCTACCTATGATGCAGGTGGGTGAGAGCAAGCAAACGAATAGGTGCTCAAGGAGCGTTTAGCAGGCGGAGCAAGGAGCCATCTGAGAAAGCGTAGTTTGCACTGGAAGCCCAGTTATGTTATGCTCAAAAAATCAAACAGCGAATACGGCGGGGGTGTATAGCCCTGGGAGGAAGTGCGGGCGAGATGATTCAACTGCAGTAGCTTAAGGTAATAAGTCAAACATGCACGGGATAAAATATTTGATTATTCTCAAATTGTTAAGCACTTCAGGACGATAATTTCGTGTAACATGCTGAAATACAGATAAGCTAAAAGAGTTAAGAAAACCTACGCTTGTGACATGATGGATAATGGTAATACACAGGTTTCCGGGCTCTGAAGAAGGCGATTACGCCGAACGTAAGTTGATAAGAACTTATTTAACATCTTGGCAGTAGGTTTTAAAAAAGTCTTATAACATTAATTTAAGAGAACGTTCCTTGTTAGTGTAGAAAGAGGTACTTTTAGCTAGCCACAAGAACGACGCCTTCAGTTCTTGATGACGATAACAATTTTGGTAGTACTATTACAGCATTGGCTGCATTCATAGTCCGCCGGCGTGCCGGCATGCCTGCCGTGGTAGTGCTAGGGGGAGGAGGGAGGCAGACAGTCGATCGACGCGGTCGCGTCGCGCCCAAGCCCTTTCGAAGGGCTAAAAACAAAGAAAAACTTGATCAAAAATCAAACAACGAGAGGCTTGTGCAAATGGTGTCCTACGTCTCATCCAAATTTGGGCGCTCTGGTATACCAGAAGAGGAGGTATAAATTTACGGGTAAAAGCACACACACTTAGCGCGTTATATATAGTAGGATGGGGTTTTCATCCCGGAATCTGTCCCATGTGAGACCTTGTGGTCCTGAATCAATTCGTTAACCATTGGAAGATACCTGCACTATGGCGTGAAGCCCAATCGGCAGTTCAGTCTCTCTTACCGTCACGACCTCTCCCAAGCACTTATCCACTCAGGCGCTGATTATTTCTTTAGGAATTGTTTTTTTCCGTCAGAGTTCGGGATGGCGACATTTCCAGATCAGACTTATCTCGCTAACCGCTGTATTTTGACAGTACTTCATAGCGCGTATCGTTCGAGAAACTCTCTTCTCCTACTGAAATACTTTTTTCGCTTCTAATAGTTCAAATATGCTTGAGGATGAATTCCAGACCATTGTGATAAAATATTCAGTCTGCAAGATTAATGACAATACTTCACAGCCTTTTTTCACGGAATAGTTTACAAAATTACTCAATTACGTGATCTACGTCTTGACTCACAATCTTTTTCTATCGTTTCACGGATTTTCTTTCAATGTCCTTGCCGTGGAGGCCTCTGTCACGATTAGTTTCGGTTTCCTCAATTACCACGAATTCTCGTAGAGAAACCAATTTTGAAAAAAAGAAGCATTTGGTGTATGAATATGGATAATGCATTTGACAGAATTCGATGAACGGCCGTACAATTGGATTTTTTCGACGAAGTCGAGACCAAGTAAATGATAGAACGGTGGCTATTGGAAGACCGACTTATAGTACTAGCCGTGAGAACTCGAAAATTCACGCGAATACCATGAACTCGCGTCGATTTCGTGTTTTCTCTATAAGTCGGTTCAGAGTGGAGTATTTCAGAAGCTGAAGATACATCTAAACTCAGTTCGTCAAGCTCTATAAGTGAATAACCTAAAGAATTGTAAATGGTTCATTGCAGATTGCGTGTATTGCGTTCGATTTCCATCCGAAAAGCAATTGCATGTACATGGGATGAACGCTTTAGTGCTTGAAGAAGCTGATAGATCTATGATGATAGATTACTCAGGATTCGCTCTAGGGTGCGTCGCGCACTCTACTTCACTCGGTGCAATGTGAAAACGATTAAATTGTTTACTTCTGTCTTCATCGTTTATTTCTAATGTCTTGACGGTAGATCACCTTTTAGTCTTGATGACAGTCTTTGCACTCAACACTCATCCATAGAGAATATGACAACAATTTACGGAAAAATAAATGAGTCGATTTTTTTTACATTTCAAATCTTTAGAGGAATTTTCCATCAGGATGCTTGGTGACGACTTTGAAGCCATTCTATTATCGTAGGCAACTTTTGTTCTTTGCAAGTCTGCTATGGTACCTCTCATCGTGAATCAAGGTTTCTCTTTTGGAATGGCCCCCAAGCTTCGCTCTTCGTCACGCCCAAATCATAAAATTGTGTTTTTTCGGCACTATTTACCCTTTACTGCCCGCTTCGTCGAGAATAGGCTGCATTTCTAACTTTTTTTCAAGAAGATGAAACCGACTAGAAACTTGCCGCGAGGGGTAACTTGACTCATATAACGCGAATATCGCATCCATTCGTCATGAAAATAAGAAATGGAAGTGAAAAATCCATTCGTCACTACTTAAAAGCAAGTTTTCAGCAGGACTGGTTACCCAGCTCCATTTGGCGCCGGCGTCGGTGTCGCAAGCGCTAGGCATCTTTATGATGAGTGGATGCGATATTCGTGTTCTACGGGTCAAACTACCTCTCTAGGCAAGTTTCTAGTCGATTTCATTTTCTTGAAAAAAGTTCAATAGAAATCCAACCCATTCTCGACAAAGAGGCAAGAGAATTTGAGTATATGAACAGATTGAAATGAAGATCAAAAAGTCTAGGGTTGCGTGAATTTTCCTACCACGCCATGAGCCAAGGGACAGGGAGGAGACCGAATGACCATAGAATGCAGTTTCTCTCGCGTACACAAATACAAGGGTAACAGCAATATTCACCTGGATTCGTAGGTCGAAACTTCTTATCCTGATTCAGCAATATCGTATTCAACAGCTTTGTCGTATAGCTAATCAGCGTTGTATTATACGTGGACCTTAAAACATTCTATAGTTCTGTCTTGGTAAACTCGAAATGGTTTACAACTTGTTAACCGTCTAATTGGGCTGAGGTGGTGTACTGGCAAGAAGCGCACTTTTTCACGCATGGTCATGGGTTCAAATCTCGGATCGATAGGCCAACCGAGCCTACCACCTTACCGGGATCGGTTAATTGGTTCCGAACGCGTCTGGGAGGATAAAAGCACTAACTTGTACATCGGCTGGACACCCCAAGTCATTGTATAGGTTGGCCACGTACGCACTCATTACGCCACTATGATTCTGAATGGAGGTCGAGTGCGGGGGCGCATCCCTCAGACGGGATTGATTAACGCCAGGAACTTTATCCTTTCAACTCCAGTTACTTCTTGTGCAGTGTATGATAACAAAGAAAGAGTGTTGAATTGTTCAGCCGTGGTTGATTACACAGTGGTCGAATTCTCCTCAGAACTTCTTAAAGTCTTGGAAGTTCTATGTACATGGTGAAAGAGATATCGTTACATTCATATCTTATAAAGAAAAACTATGACCATCCATACAGGCGAACGCGTCGTCGGAGTCTATCCTGTCGGAACTACGCCAATATTGAGCCATCATTTGCCATTGCATTTGCTTGGTTCTATACATAGTAACAAGTTGAGCGTCTTCACACATCTCTTCAGTGATTCAAACCTCAGGTGAGCCACAATCTTCACCGGATTCCTATATGCATCATAGAAGGAAAAATCTAGAATGAGTCCATGATGCTGAAGCGGGATTCGTACAATTGCCACTTGGACGTTTCATGAAATCCCAAACATTTCAGCCATTGATCTTTGGGTCTGCATACGTTCTTATTTACCTTTCATTTCTGGGAATTCCTCCTTGTAAAGCTGAAGACGTCCGCAGAATGACGAACACGAAGAAAAGGTTCATGAATCTGAAAACAAGTGACAGTAATATTCTTAAGCACAATAAGCATTTCTGGCCGTATTAGGCCAAGTCCAAGATCAACGAAATTAATCTCGTCTGCGGATTCGGACGACAGTTATTAGAAATGCATGTGAATCATCAGTTATGTAAACATTTAGAAATGCATCAGAGAAGGAACTCCAAGGAGTTTGAAGGAAAGCTCTATTTGACATGGGAATCTGATGGCGATCCTCAGCCTCTACATTCCACTCTCTATCCTACTCTCCGCCCGCCTGAAACAATCATTTAACTAGATTTGTGCGGCTCGAGCAGTTTGATTAAGTTGTTGAAGAGACGGCGGTTGGACATAGGCAGTGGATGGGAAGAATTGTAGTAAGGAATGCTCTAGAGTGCACAGTCTACAGAAGGAGGGCTGCCTAAAGAAAGGGTCAGGATTCTCTCAAGGCGGCATTTCAGCAGTATTGAAACATTTCCTGAGACAAGATAAAGATTTGAGAAAGGCTCTGCTGCTATTACATCTGAACCAGGTGGGGAAAGAGAGTCATCAATGGGTTCTTCGGTTTCCTTATTCATCAATTCTATCTACCTTTTCGTAAACTCTCCGGAGTGCACCTGGTTTCAAGAGTAAAATCAGAGTAAAAATGGTGTATAGCGTATCCCGAAGGAGCGACTGCCTAGTTTATCTCCCCTTCCTTTGGATTAGTCCCCTGAAGAGGTTCTTGGTGTATAAATGTAGTTTCTCGCGTTAGTCAAGCCTGTTTTGGGATATTTCCACGCACTGGCCATCCATCCAGAAGTGGTATTGAATGCGTTGACTGCAACAAATTGCGTACAGGCGATGTACGGATATATTTGCCAGCGATTTTCTCCCATAGACAGGTATGGTACCATAGGCGAGGGCTGCCCAGGCTAATATTGGTAATGGAATTTCGCCATGCATGGGCTTCCACCTACGTACTAACGGATTCCGTACATCTCCCAAATTTTCCTTCAACATTTCTTCCCTATGTTGCATTTGTTTTCTCTGGCCTGCCCAGGAACCCGAACCCACAGTGGAGCGCAACAGTTGAGACAGTCGAGTTCAGATGGAATTAGGAGATTTCTCTCCACAGTATAAAGGAATGTTGTGGAGATTCCATAGATTGGCCTCCGAAGGTGGTTCATGGATTTCGCTGCTTTTTGTGATGGACAGGTCATCTCACCTCAATGAATTATCTATGGTTAGAAAGAAATCACAACTCAATAATTTTTTCAATGAAAGTCTGTTTCAAGCTTCTATGTAAGCCAAGTATGGGTTGATGCACTGACTTTTGGGCCGGCCAGATGATTTGGTCCTGAAATTAAGCAAGCAAAATTGCAAATAATCCATGTGGCTTTTGCGAAACCCAATCCCAGTGGCGCAGAAATGAGAGATTTTCTGAAATGAGAAATTAGCCTAAGTAGTGAGTAGTGAGCTATTTGCTTCGGCTAATTTTTCAGTGAGTAGTAGTTCTAATTCTGCCATTTTCATTTCGAACCCTTCTGCGATGAACTGGTTCTTGACGAGAAGTCACAAAGATCTGGCGGCGTCGGGCTCTCCACTGACCACAACTAATGTGGAGAAGCTTTAAGGAAGGAATGATCAACAATTAATTAAATATTAGTTATATAGATATGAATTTAACAGATGTTCACAAGGTTCGCATATTCGAAAGTTTGGCGCCTCGTCAATACGTTGAATGCAAATGAAAAATTTTCTAGTGGAAGACTTCTCTTTTCCAAGTTCTTTCTCCTCACCATTATTTCTTGATCATGCTCCCACAAATCTATTCGTGCTCTGTGAAAATGTAAACGAAAAATCAAGCATCTTAAAAAATCAGTGACCCCTCTAAGGGAATTTGGTCAATTTACAAGTGATCAGTGTTCTTGCTTGATCTGTTTTTGTGATTATGACTGGAATCTGACTATGACTTGGAATTGCAATCATGACTAATGTTCCGTCAATTGCGTCAAGCCTCAAAAAGCCTTCAGGCCCTGAAGTTACCTCAAAAAACCTTTTCGTCTTGTTTCTCTCGAGAATAGTGGTTAATGATTAAAAGAAAAACAAACAATCAACACTTTCATACACTGAATATCCAGCAACCGTAGGTATGTGTTCATATCAAATCAGTATTTTATTAGGCTAATTCCAAATCACTCGTTATATCGTTGACCCTTTCGATTACTCTCGCTGGATACCGTTCAATACCGTATGCTGTCTCACAGTGCTATACGCTTTTCTCCGAGATCTGGTAAACCAAAAGCTCCACCTCTTCGAAAACGTCTACTCCGATTCATTATGTTCTATAAAACATGTGTAGACTTCAAGCTTCCTTATTCATTTGAAAGAACACCAACTTTAGTACAATTAATTCTGCTGCTCACGAACCTCCGCATCTCGATGAAGTGTTCTGAAATTTTTAACCTCTACTTCGGGTCATATTATCGACTTACAGCTTAGACCAAATAGCCTTCGTCAAATATCGAGAACCCAGAAACAAAACGAGCATTTTCGTTATTCCTCTCAATAATTTTGTGTGGTGCAGAGAGGCTAAGTTATGAGAGTTAGAGTTGAAAACTCCAAATTGAGCTTCCAAGGTTTCGGTTTTGAGGAAGTCTATAAAGGGTTAGCTTCGAGAAGGAGATTAAATGATTTCGAACAAGGTTGGCGAGTTACAAGTCAAGTTTGGAACTCGTAAAATACTAGACGAAGCCCGTACTTGTGCTTTCTAGGCGCTGTGCACTTTATTCCTCACACCAGTTGGGGTATGCACACGAATGCGTGCACCATGCCATGCCCACTACCGCTTACATACGACTTGTTAGAGGACGAATATAAGCAGTATCGGTTGACTTCCCTTTTCTAACCGTTTCCCCATTAGGTGATATTCCCCAATTTGAACGGTCTGATGCCGCTTTATGGGTATTGGTCTCTTGACACTAATAGGTGGTCGTGGAATTGTTTTCATTCTGACCTTCTCTAGATCCTAGAGGTTTGATGGTCCTGAGGCGGGTTCTGATATTTTGTCTGCGAAGTCATAAATAGACTGAATATTAATCAAGGACCAATATAAAGAGCACTGGTTGACGTTCCATTTCATACCTGCTTTCTCACCACGCTCTTGTGATTTTAACGCCTACGTGACTTTTGGGAGGACACACAAACGGGCATACAAGCGGACACACAAAGTTAGCGCTTTATATGTAGAGAGGATAACCTTTCGAGATTTTCGGACCGCGCTGCGACGAAATGACCGCAGCTAACAGAATTTCAAAGCTCTTATTTGGTTAGTTAGAATTTAAAAAAGTTCTTTTTGAATATAAATCAGTCGTTCATATTCAGTTTCACCTTACCTTGAAAGATCTGCTTTCATGCAAGCGTTGGTCGGAGTGTCGACGTATTTATCAAGATACTCAGTCAACGGGACGGTAGCAGTTAATTCTTGAGAGAAGATAATCGATGAAAATGTACTGTGAACTGGTGCTAGAATAATCCCTCTGGTTTCACCTAATAGGCCCCGAATTAAGCTCAGCCATCCCTGAGCTCTTTCGAATCAATTGAATTGAATTGAAGCTCTCTTTCGAATTAATTAGGAAGGATTCCATGAGAAATGAATCTGTAAGGGAAATAAAAATAGCTTCAATTTCATTTCTATAAGGTCGATGTTAATTGAAGAAAACTGAAGACTACCTAATGATCCTATCCTGGGAAACCTAGTTAACGATTGAAGAAAATACGGAGCGCCCAGCTTGCGTAGGCTTCGCAACGATTGCTAACTCATGGTTAAGTTGACAAAATTCGATTAGAGGGGTCAGTGAGTGTTTCAAAATGTTTGCCTCTTTTTTCGTTTTACTGAGCATGAATAGATGGAAGCATCGGATTAAGAAATAATGATGAGCACAAGAAACTAGGGGAATGGTCGTCTTTGACTGAAAGTTCACCTCGCATTCAGCGCCGTGACAGTGACGAATAACCAAATATGCGAACCTTGCGGACCATCTGTTATTCCCTCCTTTTCAAAGCTTCACTCCATTCTGTGAAGTCGGTCTGTGAAGGGTAATGGATTTACATTGAGAAACAATTATTTGAGTGCCTAACTGATATTACAATGGGCTTGTGGAGGTAATCCGAAATGGTTGTTCCGTTCGTTAAAGCTACCATAATTGCAACCGTAACTACATGATACATTTGTACATACGGAAATGTAGAAGCCTAGTAGGCCCAAACGGTATATAACCCGAATGCTCCTTAGCAGAATATTTCAAGGACTTCTCCCCAGCGGTTGAAGTATTGCATGTCATCCGGCTTGTCAAAGTCGAAACTTGGAAACAGGATT